GCTTTACAGAGCAGCTCCTAGGTCAGTTTTATCAGGGCATCACTAATGGTTATGATATGATCTGTCTAGCATCACTTCCAATTAAAGCTAGCTGGGGGAATGTGGCAGGCGCTGCTTCCCATCTCACTCGGGACTCTGTGGTGTTCTGTGAATGCAGACTATTGTTTGAGCCACTCATTTCAGTGGTGATCAAAGTTCCATTGTGACCACCTCAAAGAGAAGTGGCCACTGGCCAGGCCTATTAGATAAGTAGTTGTGGTGGGGAGATAGAGAGGGTAATCAGTCTTCTTACTGATAGCAATGACCAGCCCACTTCTCATAGTGACAAGGACTAACCTCTTCAATACAATATAAAGCTATAACAAAAGGTTATTCTTCTTGTTTAGATAGACTTGCCTTTTGGACAAGAAAAATACATCCCTGAGAATCTTCATAATTTCTACAAACTTCCTGTGGCCTCATGGAGCTAATATTCCATTCTATGACCTCATCTCTTTCAAACCACTGGGACTGCGGAACAGCCTTAAGAGTGGCACAGTCTGAACCTTTCATCCATGGGACACCAGGGACCTCAAATCTCCACGCAGGCCCAATCTGAGACCTGAGCAGATGAGGAGGAGTTTATATTCAGTCGATAGTGAGGACAAGCTGAGGTGAAACCGGCTCTGGGCCTTTTAGATTTCTCTCCAACAGAGATGTTAATCGTTTTGCTTATAGGTGTGAATCTGTGGAACAAAGCATCACCTTTACGGTAGCTGGTCTAAAGAGAATGGAGGAACAGCGCATGATAGAGGAAACTGCCCACAGGCTAAAAAATAGAGTACTTTACTTTGAAGATACTTTGAATTGAGTTGAGTTTTAGTGAGACTTACAAAAACAGCATAAATTAAAAAAAATTTCAACTTCTCGACTGTGTGACTCTCAAGTGTTGATCACCTCAATTATTCTTTTGTGGAGAAAAATTGGAGAAGAGGTGTGGACCTAAAATGCCAGGGTCAGTGTCATTTGCATGCCTGAAATAAAGTTAATTTGGCAAAGTGCAGCAGTGGAGAAGGGAGAGAAAGTCCTCTTCTGTAGATACTGTATTTTTGGGCATAGTCATTGAAATAAACAACCATTGGACTTTTCAGCTACATCAAATAACAGATAAAACTGAATTGGTCCATCATCATGTAGCTACAGGCAAACAAGCAGACTACAGATGACCTAAATATCTTGAATTTTAGAGCACATCACTTGAATTTATTATTTCATCTTTTTTCAGAAACAGTACGTTGCAAGATTTGGTACTTTACATCTTAAGACATCTTGGCTGTCACCTAATCCCGTGGTGAACCTCCACCAGAGGTTCTTGAATGGAGTAGTTGGTCATAATGAGGCAGGAGCAGCTGCAGGCCCTCTTGATAGAATGAGGTCACTAGAGCGACAGAGATCAGAGTGGCTGATTGGGGGTTGGTTGAGGGGGTCTCCCTCAATAGAACAGGCAATGAACTATTTTGTATTGAAGGAATGCAAGACTGCAGGCCCTCCTGCTCTTTTGCGAAGCACATCTGTGTCAGAAATAAATCATTTTAATTGTTCTCCGAATCCCCCCCCTCACCATTTTGCAAAATGATAATTGAAACATTAATAGGTTGTTAATAGGAAGTGTGTCCTGGTAACCTTTGATATAAATCTTGCTGTAATGAAGAATATTCTCCATGACTATTGTGAATCAGGAGTAATTAAACATGCGTGGGCAAGCACCGATTCGGGAATTCGGGGGGGATACCGCTGCTTTGGAAGAAGAAGTTTTTAACATATAAGTTTGAAAGAATAACTGGAAAATTCTGCCACCAAGTAAGTTTTTCAGGTTAATGATAATGAGACTGCTCTTTAAATGCTTACTTTGCCCTTCAGTTGGAGGTAGGACAGTACCATTGGTTCAGGCAAGTTTGTTATGGAGACCCAGGGGTCTAAACACTACTGAAAGGGCATGAGTAATTCATATGAGTGGGGCAGAGCTGGAATAGCAGTATTGCCCAAGAGAAGAGAACTTAGCTGGAAGAAACTAGATCCTCCTTATAGACTAATGGATGTGTTAGCAAGTGTGCTTTAAGACCAGCTTTCATGTTGGCTCCACCAGAGGGTAAAGAAGGAATGTCAAATTAATTATAGAAATGAAGCCAACCTCCTTTTCTTATCATGCAGGGCAGCTGTGTGGCAGCTGTGTTCTTTTCTTCTTCTTCTCTGTCTTCAGCACTGGAATGTATCCTGTTCTACATCTATCCTCTGCTGCTCTTCATCAATCCATACAAACTTACTCAGGAGAAAGATCTCCTGTGTATGGGGGGGGGGGGTTTGAAAGTGGAGCTGTTATTGAGTGAAAATGTCATAGAAATGGTTGCAGAGAGAGAAGCAGGCTCTATCTTGCCTTTCAATGTTTCACAGCCTCCACTCAAAGTTGACTAATCGATCAATATTTCAAGAGGAATCTTTTGTAATGACATCACTCTGTTGCCTGTAAAACCACATTAACCATCAGCCATGAGCGAGTCTCAAATCTCTGACAAGCTACATGGTCCTGCAGCATTTAGCTTTAGTATTTTAGGAGACATTTGCAAAGTTAAATATCTCGCAAATACAACGTGACCAACTCTGAGATGCTCTCACCTCACTTGTTGAAAGACTCCCCAAGGTCTGCTTTGGAAATAATGGGACAGAGCAACAATGGATGCATCGAATATTAATGCAGAGTTGAAGCCAGCCTTGACTCAAACTGTTTATATCCATTATATCATGACAAATTGAATAGACATCACTCCATGTGTTATCATGCTGTTTTCAAGAACAGTCCTCAGACATGCACATCATATTCAAAATGATAAATGTATTATGGCGAGGAGGAATTTCTCCTCCTTTGCTGACTTCCACATTGTTCAAGTGAGGAAATGGTCATTTGAATTCATTATAGTGTTTTTTTGCCATTTCTGCTCTATTTACAGCGACAGTCGGGAAAGCAGGGACACGCAGAGGAGAGGAGCTTCTGATTCAACATTGCATGAAGACAGAGCCTTGATATGTGAACTGGCTCTACAGGTGAGCAACCAGAGCACCTGTTTCTTTTGTTTCACTTAAGCCTGTGCATTTTGTGTCAAGTGACTTTTTGCAGACTCTCTATACACATCCACTGTCTTAGGCCGAAATGTTCTGGTGCTCGAGAGAAAACTAACCAAGCCCGACCTGAACCCCAGCTTCTTATTTTTGTGTCCAAACTTGAACTTAGCCCAACATGATAACAGCCATGTGCAGAGAAGTAAATCAAGTAGACAGACCAGCCAAAGAGATTGAACCCGATCTGACGGGCACAAGTCGGGTCCACACTCACCCATCTGTGATTTGGACATTACTCCATGTGTTCTGATTCAACTCAATGCACAGAGTACTGAGGTTACAGGGCATATGTCACTGTCAGTGTTGACACTCAGCAGGTGTGGAAGGAACATGAATGAATGCTAGTTAGCCAAGCTTGCTAACTTCCACATTCCAAATTTTGATTGTTGATAGATTTCAAATGTGATAAGGGGTAATATTCTTCATAGCTACACTTTGTGTGGCTAAGATATACGCAGACAAGATGTGACGATAAATGTAAAATCTGTCTTTAAAAAAGGTAAAAAGTGTTTATTTGAATTAAAAGATTGTCAAGAAAAAAAGTTTTCAAGCATCTAGGTTTAAACATGTGCCGACGTGTTACTTTGAGAGGCACAACACAAATACAGTTTTCCTGGACTGTACAAAAATATTTCTTATAATAAAATCTGACTTTGTTTATCCTTACAATACCACAGTTGGCCACTGGGGCATACATCCAAATCATTTCCTGGCAAGCGCTGTCATGGGAGGGGTTTTCCTGAAGTCCCGAAGCTGTTTCCACTAAAAAATCAGTTTTATCCAAAAAACTAAGTTTGCACAATAGCTACAGGAGTGTGACAGTGACACAAAAAGAAGAAAAAAAATCAATTTTCACATCACAACTATGAAATCAAAATAAACTGAGTAAAGACAAGGAAACAAAGCGGAGAACATTTAATAGTTTAATTATAAGCTGCTGTATACATTCAGTGATTATTCCGATTTTTATGTTGCCAGAAGCCATGGGTGAGACCAGCAAAACATTCAGCTACAAGATCTAGTTTGTTGTATGCAATTTGTCCATTTTCATTCATATTTTTCGACATTGTACATAGTTTACTGCAAAGCAACAAAAACCACATTGCTGATGTGCAACACGGTTCTTCCGAGACCTTAGTTCATTGGAACACGATTCCACCCAGTCTTTTGTGTGGTGCCTGTTGGAGGGGAGAGCCATGTTTGTACCACTCTGGTCTTAACCTTATCTTTGAGTTCAAGTGAACACAGATGGCAAAGGGTAACAGCAGTGCTGAGCAAAGCTATTCTGCACATCAGAATGCCCTCAGTTGAAGCTGAAAAAGTCTTATTTAAACTTGATTGGGCCCAATAGGAAAGCCGACTCTTTAGACAGATACAATAGGTAGAAACCTGTTTACCAGCTTTAAGAACACTGGGAGCCGTTCTTTCTCCTCCTTAGATACTAAGATTATGCAACATCCTGCAATCTTTAAGGTTTTGTTTGCATCTTTTTTGGTTTCTTTTGCTATCTCACTCTAAGCTCATTGAACTGACACACTAATGTTGGTGCTGAAATCGCTTTTTTTTGTTGAATTTTTTTTTGTCTTTTTTTACATTTTCTAGTAGCCCACACAGAAACTTGATGGCACAAGAACTGACCAATAAGAAACTCTTTACAACAAGGTAGACTGCAAGTCAACAGTTGCCAGGGGTCACACAATAAACAAAAAAAAGAATCCAAGTTCATTTTGAAAATGAAAAACAAATCAGGTTCAATAAAAAAGCAAAAGACAAATGAACAAAAGCAAGTTAATTTCAAGTATAACTTACTCATAAAATAACTACACAGCATTAAATATTCTCATTATACATTTTTAAATTATTTATAAAATATATTTTGGCATATATGTTTTTTTTCATTTTTGTGTTTGTGTAACAAACGCTACTGTAGCTTCAGTTGAACACCAATGTTTATTTGTTTTTTCTCTTGAAACAAAACATTAAAGGGATTGTCACATAACAACAGGTTATTAAAAATGATAATAGTAAACCCTATACAGAGTTTCACATAGCAAGACATGAGTGACGATCCCTTCTATCCTAGCCCCATAATCAAAAGTCAAAAAAAGTACAAGACCAGAGCATAAAGTTCTAATTTGTGCTCCACTGGCTACAATCAAGGTTGGGCACAGGAGATTTCAAAAGCAGTAAGTCTTTTCTTCATACAACTCAATTTGAACACAAGGATCGGTCTGTCCCACTTCCAATGTTCAGAGCGGCTGGGCAGATAGTGAGAGTTCATTTAGCTCCATCCATGATAAAATATAAATACTGTAAAGACCTTACAGTCTGATGACACTAGGATGTCCTCAGGGATACGGCAAGAAAGTTTCTCTTATTAGTCGGGGAGAGGGGCGAATGAAACGGAAAGGCCTCGCTCCCCTGCTCCTGAATGCACTGAGAATATTTTTAGCTGAATCCTGTGTATGTCTGTTGTTGCTTATTACACTGACGGAGCTCACTATACAAAGGAACAAAGAGCAATTTTGGCAGCTAGAACAAACTGCAAAACCAAAGAAGGCAAATATCAGTTTGTGATACAAAAGTAGTTCAAAAGGCATAACTGTACTTGTGAGTCGGCACCTCAGGTGTCCAAACGTGTAGTGTCCTGCTTTGGCGCAAGGGCTGGAGAGCTCTGCCGGCCATGTCCATGCAGTCAACAGTAACCTGCCTGTCCACTCATTGCAGACTGATAGAAAGAAAACTGAACAAAAAGCAAACAAGGAAAACGTACTGCGACTACAACAAAGCCACATCCACTACCTCAGCTTGAGTACACATCTAGCTGCAGCATACTGCAGTTCATTATCGGCAGTCCGAGCTGGTTCTTCATTATTGTATACTGCAAATGGGTGTGTCTCTCTACTTCCACGGCCTGACGTCATTCTGTGAACACACAGCTATTGCGGGGTATATATATGTGAGTTTACACTGTATGTGTGTGTGCAAGTTGGTGTCATAGAGAAGCTCGCTAAAGCACAATGTCCTTCAGGCGCTTGCTGCTGGGGGATTCCTTGTCTCGGCCATCGTGGAGAAGCGTGTTGATCTCCCTGACAGCCGGCTCACTGTCCTTCCCCTCCGGCTGCCGCAGCAAGCTGTGGTTGGCGATTCGCTCTGCGTCGCGGCATTTCAGTGTGTTGTAGGCAGATGACGGTTTGGACAGTGGGCTCTTCAGGTGCACAGGGGAGGTGATGGGGCTGGCTGCCTCACGCCCGTTGCCAGCTTCACGGACAGCCCCTCCATTCGCCTTGGGGCTGCACTCCTGAGTCCGCTTCCCCTTTATCTCTCCCCGCTCCACGTCCTCGGGCCCATCCTTGCCGAAGGTGGCAAAAGTCCTCTTGGTGGTGCCATCTTCGTAGTGGGGCACGTCCACTGTGGTGGCCTCGATAGACAAAGCGATGACATTACGGCCGTGCTCGGGTGATTTGGCTCTTGGTGGGATTGGGACACGAGGCATCCAACAGCGGTCAGAGTGGCCTAGGATGCGACACTCGTCCTGGCAGTGGAAGCCCTCACTGGGATCTGTGTGGGACATAGAGAAAACATGATTGTTAGCTATGTGTGTAAATCCAGCTTGATTTTCAAATTTTACACTCATTTGCACACAGATCTCATATTGTTAATTCTCCCACATGGTCTTCATTTGGCTTTAGAGAATGATTCGCTCTCACTTGAATTGCATTCCTGCGTCTGCTCGAGACTGCAGTCCTGCACTGATGGCTTGAGCTGGATGTTTGGGGCACTTTTAATATGCCAATTAAATTATGTATTGTTAAATCAAAAGTCCATTTGCGGCTCTTGTATAATTGGGTTTTCCGTGGCAACACTAGATGAAAGGCAGGTTTAAACAGTGCAATCAGATATCTCACAGAGAGACACCAGGCGAGTTGCGGTGTTGTTTGCCTGGTGCGTCTCTCTCCCCCTTTTCTGTCTCTGTCATCTGGCATTGAGTTATAAATAAGTAATGATGTTTAATGCTAAACTGAAAACGAGATTTGTCTGAGTCTCTTAGTTGTGTCGGAGGGGGAGGACATTCAAGACAATTTTGCATCGTCAGAAAGATGTTTTCTCTCCTGATTGTTATTAATTCAAACATACAATGCCGTTTCTAGAAATCTCTTAAATCTTTAAAACATGATTTCACTTGTATATCACTGGTCTTAAAAAGGTTGATGACAATAACAAAGAAGAGTAAAGCACCCTTTGAAAATGATTCAGCCCTCGAAAACATTTGTTTTTCAAAGTCTTTCTATGCCACTGTGCCGCTGCGTTTTCCACCAGCTCCAGTCTTGAGAAAGAACTTGCCACACACACATACGCAATGACACATTTTTGAGTTCCCCTACTGGTTGGTACACTTCTAGTGAGAGCCATCCTCCATTCCACACGCCCAAGGTGACAAGAGAGGATTGTGAGAGGGATTGCCATCGACCCAAATGCATACGCTTACATCTGGCAATCGCAGCTTGACAGATCACCTAATTAAAATCACTAATGATCTGTTTTTCTCTCTTCTTCCTGCACTCATGAGAGGCACCTCTGCTTAGGCCCTAGGGATCGATATTTAAAGATTGGAGACAGGCTTTTCAGGACCAGATATGCCAGAGCTGTCTCTCATAAAGTATAATCTGATGAGGCTGACAGATAACATGGTGACTAAATGACTAAACGAGTGAGTAAAGGGTATCATGGGCTGTCTGAACCCGAATAAGGGAAGTGGAGTTCTGGGGGAATCATCGCGCTGGAAGGCAGACAACATTAACACCAGCACCAACACTGCCGACGATGAATATCCAATGTCCACATGAATGCCTCATAGTGACACAGAGGCGGAAACAGACTTATCTTCCCTTCATCACGTGTGTTGAAATGCACACACACACAAACACACACCCGGCATTCTATCTAATAGATGCAGCTTCAGACGACACCCTCTTCCTCACAATGGACAGCATTGATATAAGAATCTCAAAATGTAGTTGATGCTTAAGTGAGGTAGCAACAATATGTGATAATAATAGACACTTTACACATATTGTAGCATATACAGGCATTTTATAAAATCACTATACAGTAAAAATCATGTGATGTGACAAAAAAATCAAGGATGTGTTGACTGGATAGTTGTTCCATGTGTTGCACGGGTGTATGTATGTACATTTCATGAAAGCTGATTGGTCTGAGGAACTGCACTGGCAGCAATCAAGCAGACAAAAGGAATAAAGCTTTAAAAAGAAGGGATCCAATCACAGTGTTATAATGTAATCACAACAAAAGTCTTTCCCAGGTACCAGGAACATTACATGGAGTGAGGAATAAAAAAAAAAAATACATGCCCACACACTGGATTAGATTTTCCAATGCAATGATATTCTGAAAGCTCTTTTAAAATCTCATGTTCTTTTTCTAATCCTATGTAATGGATTTCTCATTGTCTGTATTTTGAATCTAACCATTTTTGATGCCTTTTCTTTGATAGATGATGGTGCTTTAAGAGTCAATATTTTAGTCTTAGTAGCAACGTAAAGTCTATTCAGAGAGCTTCAATCTTTACTACTTTATTCCATCAGAAAACATATCTTTGATATGTGACTTGAAAGTTGTAACATAAATTTCAAACGTGCAGCTTCATCTGGATTTAATAATCTGATATTCTCACAAAATCTTGTCTGACATGTTTGACAAAGTAGATCTTTTTCTCTCCTGATTAAAGATTTACCAGCATCTCGGTAATGAATGCCGTTTCCTCTAAATACTTTGGCTTTTTTCTATTGCCTGAAGCCCTTTCTAAAGTGTGAAAAGCCTCAAGGCACAAAGAAATATACACAAGTCGCATGCTCGCTGCTCAGCAGTGCATGCATATGCAGTGAATGCCATTTTCTCTCCTTTCCTTTAGGGGTAAATGGAAGAGCAACTGGGTTGTAAATGACATTGTTATGAAAGCCAAGTGCTATTAGCACTCATCCTGCCTCTGCTCCGAGCTTCATAAAACGCAGATGTTGCTCTAAAAGACCTACAAAAATGGAGAAGGCAAAATTTGAAAGGAAAAAGAGACAGGCCGTCGACCTCTGACAATCTCGCCCTATTGCTAAAAACCAGCAAACTGCAATGGTGAGAGATGAATTAATGGCTTTTCCAGTAGCAGCTCGGTTTGGAAGTAAACAACTACAGAATAAAATACAGCGAAGGCGCCTCCTGTCGTGAATGTGGGTTCAAAGTCGTCAGGAAAATAAGCTTGCCAATCAGCTCTTAACAGATTTGAAGTACAGTATAGAGCAGGATGTCACTGGGAACATTTGCTATCCACAATTTAATACGTATTAATTACTGAGTAAGCTCCATCGGGAGGTGGAGGCTGGCTTTGTGTTTTTTTTTCTTCCACATTTAAAATAAAACAGCCTCATGGCAGAGGAGGCAACAAATCCACAAATCAAGTATCAGTGCTGCTTTCAAATCAGACATACTGCACTTTAATTCTGAATCTAGGTCCAAACACTGGCAAAGGCACTAGAGAGCACTTAAAATATCTATGTACTGATGTGCACAGCATCGGGAAAATATTAAATATAGCCATTTCAAATACAAAGGCTTAATTCTCCTGATAGGGCTGGCCATGTTTTTCTGTTTGTAGTTACCTGGAATAGCATCACTTTGCATCAACGTGGGCAGAAAACCCTCACGTTCGCTGCCATTTCATCACACATCTGCAGCCTGCCAGCAGCCAATTCAATCCTGTCTGTTTCTCTCAATCACATGAAGGCATCTTTACATCCAGTTACAGCAGACAGATCTCCGGCTCCAGTGTGGGGATCCCGCAACCTGACAAGCTCATTGCTCATCTTACCCTCATGCACTGCATATAATGATGCTTTCATGTCATACAGCTGGGGTGTGCTATTTGTTTGTTGCACAAAAAGAAGAATCAGCAGAAGACTAAACTCTCCTGACACTAAAGGGAAGCGATGTGTTCACTGCAAGAGGCAACTCCCCGAAACACTCCCTGAGCCTTTGCCAGCTATTTTGCGTCCTGTTTGGCGAACGCACAAGAGCCTGGCTTGGAGAGCACAGACGCTTTTCCCTCCAAAAGTAGTGCACACAGCCTCAAGGTGGAAAACAATGATGTAATCCTATAAAATCAGCGTAAGCAGCAACAAGAAACAGAAGGCCGGATTGGAGGGCCAGAGACAGGGTTGAGTCAATGTGAACCCACATTCTGGTGACAAAATCTTCGTTGTGTATTTCTTCGTCTAACTGGAGCCACGAGGCGATGGGGACTTGCAGCATGACACAATTCAGTCAGCTTGGTTTTACAGCGTGATGAACCCTAAAAGAATTTGGAACAACAGCATGGCATGATAAATCATTTTACAAAGAAAGTCTGCCACTTTTGGCTTAAACTACTTTTTTGTATTTCCTCTGTATGCTGACATTTTTTTGTCGCTGCAACAATAAATGTCCTGATTCTGCTTGTCATATGAAAATAGATACTCCTGAGCAGACATCCAGGCAGCTTAAAGCAGACAGTACTGTGATGTTGGTGTTTTCAAAGAAAATAATTTAAAGCAATTTAAACGGGGGATATATTTTATTTGTGGCCTGCATAGACTTTACCGCTCCGCTTTGATTTCCCTTGCTTTCCTGTTTTGTTCCTCTCTGATATTAAAATGCTGTGACAAAGCTATATAATATCGCCTGTCTCTGGTCTGAAAAGATAATTATTCAGCCGTGGTGATTGAAAAACCCAACAGCGACTCTGTCATTGTGTCTCTTTTCAGTTTTGCGTGAGAGGCTGAGAATAAATGCAAAAGAATTCAATCAACAGAAAGTTAAATCAATGTGGCTGCCACCCTCCGACCCTTTCTGAGGACAGCCTGGGAGACAACACTCGCTGCAGTGTCTGAGTGGTCCACAGAAGGTTTTCATTTGCTGCTTAAACCATTTCTCCATGCATCCATCCATTTCTCTGCTCTCATCTTGGTATTCCAGTGTATCTATGACAGTGAGATGGCTGTTTTCTAATTGCTCTCCATATTAATTTTCCATCCTGGCAGTCACATGGCAAAGATTGATTAAATTTAAATTGTTACTACAGAGTCGGGATGGAGCCTGTGAGGAAGAAGCTAATGGAAGTATCACAGGGGAGGGAAAGTGAAAATATGGCAGCGGCAGGAAAGAGGGTGACCGTCAGTGGTTGCAATCGGTGGAGTCCAAAGTGCGCTCGTGACCTCACGGCCTCGAACCTGCCTGACCCTAACACTGGGGATGGCGCTTAACATCTAGTTTGCCCTGCATACTACAGAGGAGGGGTCTACACGACCAGCTGAGGCTGAGGCCTGGCCAAGCGGCCTCCTACTCTACTCACCAGGGAGAGTCCAAGCACTGCTGTCATCCCAGCCAGCCAATTCAGTCTACGGGCCATAAATCAGCCCGGAGGCCTGGCTCCTGCGGGAGCGGCAAGATGGAGTGTGATGGTCTTGTTTTTACAAACAGTAGAGGGGCACCCTTGCTGCACCACGCAAGCC